TGAGGATTTTGATGAAACAACTCAACCAGCTCCCAGCTCTGTCAGAAATTTCCAGCAAAGCTATGTGCCAGAGAGAGACATTAGCATAGACAAAATTCTAATGGCCTACAAAGGAAGGCTCAGCTGGATACAGTGTATCGCATCCAAGAGAGCACGATTTGGTGTCAAATCCTACCTGCTGTGCAAATCCTCTACCAGCTACATATGGAACACAGTTATATACAAAATTTGATCCCAAGTACAGCAAATATGGAATGGCAACATCTTCCGTCCTGTCACTGATTGAGCCTCTGCTAAACCAAGGCTACTGTGTAACAACGGACAATTTCTATACCTCTCTAGAACTTTACGAGGTTCTTCTGCAGCACAAAATGGATACATATGGAATCGTTCGGGCTAACCAGTGCAACCTGCCATCAATGTTTGGAAAAACCAAACTGAAGCCTGGAGAAATAGTTGCCTGGCAGAAAGGCAAAATGATGGCATTGAGATGAGGGGACAAGAAGGGCGTGTGCCTAATGAGTACCATTCACAATGCCTCCATAGTGATGGTACAAACAAAAAGGTGGGAAAAACATTCCGAAGCCCCAGGTTGTTATTGACTACAATAGCACCATGGGAAGTGTTGACAGAGCTGACCAAGCTATGACTTTCTATCCAGCAATGAGAAAGCAGCAGAGGAAATATTACAAAAAGATTTTCCAACATATTCTGGAACAGTGCTTGTGGAATGCCTACATTCTGTTCTGCAAAAACAGTGACAAGCCTGTGCTTCATGTGGACTTTATCTAGATAGTTGCAGAATCCATTTTCCTCAAACATCAAACACCATCAGTGCCTGTGGGTATATCCGGACGACGTGTGGTGGGAGTTGTCAACCCAGAACGCCTGACTGGATGTCACTTTATGGACCACATCCCACCAACTCAAAAAAAGGCAGCACCTATATGGATGTGCGTGGTATGTTGCTCTCAGCAAGATGAAAGTGGAAAAAAATCCGCAAGGAAACGAGGTTTCACTGTCCTGATTGCGATGTTGGACTTTGTGCAGTCCCGTGTTTCAAAATATACCACACCCGTGATGTTTTCTAGAATATGCAGTGAATATATAATGTTGTTTGAACAGAGTTCCATGTGTTTGACTTGATTACATTATTTAATTTATTATTGTCACAATGTGCAGGCGCCTGTCTATTGACAGGCCAATGTGCAGGCCAGCCTGTCTCTTTGCTTCTCTCCCTCTCTGCAGCTCCCCCCTCCTGCCTCCCTCCATCCTGTCACGCGCTTTGATGGCGCTTCAATTCTTCACTCCAAACATGATGCGTGTTAGCATGCCCAACGTGTATATCGTAATCCAAAAGTGGCTAAAGTGGCTAAAGTGCCTCCTCACCTTAACCATGCGACCCGTAAGGGCCACAATGCTTTAGGTAATATAGCTCCACCAGACTGGGGATATCTGTAATAATACTCCTGTAGTACCACTCGATCTCCTCTGCCAGGTCACTTATGCCCTCAGATGGTGATAATTACAAGGCCATAGAGAGGTAGACAAAGAGAGCCTCCATAGTGAAATGCCGTTTATTCCATATAGAACACATCATCAATATACCTCTTATACATGGCTAGCTCCTCTGGTGTATTCTGATAAATTGTTTCTTGCTCCCAGTGTGCCATGAAGAGATTGGCCACACTTGGAGCAAAACGGGCTCCCATGGCTACTCCTGTAACTTGTCTATAGAATGTATCATTGTGCCAAAAATAACTGTGGCTTAGACAAAAATCTAAACACTCTATAATGAATCTCCTTTGAACCCATTCTAGATTACTCATTGTTCTCAAGCCCCAACTTACTGAATTTAAGGCGTCCTCATGTTTGATGATTGTGTACAAGGATGACACATCAGCACTTGCCATAATCATGTTTTGGCAATCCACCTTTTCTTCTAATTGAATCAGGTGTTTAGTATCTCTGAGATACGCTGTTGTGTTTTTGACCAGAGGCTGCAAAAACCCATCTATATATTGTCCAAGGCGAGCCAACACAGACTGGATGCCATTGACAATTGGTCTTCCCGGTGGATTTACAGAGTCTTTGTGCATTTTTGGTACCGTATATATTACCGGAATACGGCACATCTCCGGTACAAGATATTTACATTCATTTTTGTTCAATAGTTTCTTTTCTCCTCCCTTTTTCACAAGTTGCTCTAATTCCTTCTTGTAGCCACTAGTAGGATCTTTACTGAGCCTCTGGTATGTTTCAGTGGGCCTTATAATGATTTCTTTCCTGTTAGACAATCTTTTAATTCCAGTGTGTAATCCTAAATTAAATATTTGTTTGGGTATATTAAGATTTTCCAAGTCTATATTAATCATTTTTTACAAATCGTATGTAAGAGGTTTTTTCTTTTTCTCTTTTCCCCTTTTTTTTGGTAAAATAGTGGTATTTATTCACTAGCATTATTTCCCAGTTAGCTAGGAGTTAAAATCTCCGATGGACGTTGTTGTAATCATCGTCCTGGGAATATACACCTGGCTTGGATATGAAGCCAGTGTAAGTTCTACATACTAGGGAAAAGTATGTAGAGGAAATATAGGGCTACAATAAAATGGAGGATCAGTGACCGCCCTAATAGGGCAGAGTCATTACAGAAGGCCTTATAAATAGTACAGGAATCCACCTATCGCGCTATCCTGATGAAACCACGTGATATCGTGCAGTAATGCGTAGAGCGCGGTGATGTACTTCCAGTTACGCACTTTCGGCAGACGCCATCTTTGAACACCCAGTACCTTGCAGTACACCCACAGCACATGGGAGACCTGCTGGATGAGATCTGCTATACTGTGAGTGTTCTCTTTTGGCTTGTTTTCATCTGCTACCCCCTGTTCCAAATTATTATGCAAATTCTATTTAAGTGTCACAAAGATTAAATATTTTGTTTTTCAGTTTAACTCATGGTGTCAGAGCCTGGAATCGAACCTGGGCCTTCTGTGGTGAGAGACAGTGTTTCTTCTCACTGAGCTACCTGGAATGCTGGACAGCTCCCTTGACAATTCTTTGGATGATCCTGCCTTTTTCCCTGTTTTGTCTTGAACCTTGAACTCCTTGCTCCTCCCATGAACTTCCTATAAAAGCCATGTCTCTACACTTCCTGGTTGCCAGATTATTGTGCCTTACCAGCCAATATCCCACTTACTGGTCCTGCTGCCGTCTTCATCTACGTTATCGACCTTTGGCTTGCTACTGACTATGATTCTGCCTCATCCTATCTACTACCATTGGTGACCGACCCTTGGCTTGTGACTGACTCCGCTTCTGTTTGATCCCTGAACTGTTTGATCCGCTTTTGGTTTCCAGCCTACTCATTCCCTGGTGGGGTGATCCTGAGATCTGCGACCTGGCATTCACATGCAGCCAAATCCATCTCCACCATTAGGAGCTCTGGGGAAGACTGGTGGATGCTTAGACCCCGCACCTCAGGTGAGCCTGCGTCATTCCCAGGGTGGGCTGCTGGTGTACCAATCCTGCTGGTTTCAGGTAAGCCTTACAACTGCTGTAGCAACTGGTCTCTGAACCTGACCCAGATCGTGACAGAATAATCTGGCCTAAAACATGGAGGCCGCTATAGCAAATGCCATGGCTCCTGTCAGGCAGCAAATTTCAGAGCTGCAAGAGTTTGGTGTTACCTACCAAGAAAAACTTTCTGAACTGCAAGGTATAGTAGAAAAGCAACAGGGAGAGATTCAGGCTCTGCAGAGACAACTGCTGAACCGAGATGATCCTAGCTCACATATGCCCCAGCCCCAACCAGCTAAGTTTAATGGAGACCGCCGCCACTACAGGGGTTTCTTTAATCAATGTCGTGTATATTTCCAAATGTACCCTGCTGCGTTTCCTTCAGAGAAAAAGAAGGTAATGTTTATTATTGGGCTTCTGACTGGGGAAGCTCTAGCTTGGGCCTCCCCTTATATAGAGCAGAACCATAGCATTCTGAATAATTTTGATACCTTTTTGACCGCAATGAATCAGGTTTTTGATGATCCCAACCGTTGTGCTACTGCCGAAGCAAAATTGCATAGTCTGCGGCAGGGTAGACGCTCGGTCACTGAATATACAGCCGAATTCAGAAGTTGGATGGCAGATACCACTTGGAACCCTGCAGCACAAAAGAGCCAGTTCCGCCAAGGGCTTTCTGAACAGGTAAAGGATGAGCTTGCCAGAGTAGATATTCCTAATGATCTTGAGGAATTTATCCAATTGTGTATCCAAATCGATCAAAGGCTTACAGAAAGGAGGAAGGAGAGGTTGGGAATGTTTGGAAGTAATAAGGGCATGCATTTCTCTGCTAGTCCATTTGTTCAGCAGGATTCAAGAGTCTCTCTGGGTTCTAACACTCCTGAGCCTATGCAGGTTGATGCGATCAAGAGATCCATTTCCATTCAGGAGAAAGAGAGAAGACGTTCAGAGAACTTATGTCTTTATTGTGGGGATTCTGGTCATTATGCAATTAATTGTCCTAACAAGGTTAAAAGAACTATTGCTGTGACTGATGTGATTGAGCCTGAACACATAAACTCTATAAGCCAGTCTGTCTCCCTACTGATTTCTGAAGAGAATAAAGCGAACTCGCTACTTTCTCACTTTGTTATCCCTATTAAACTTGTATCTGAGGGCTGTGAAATCTCCTGCTCAGCTATGCTGGACTCCGGGGCGGGGGGGAACTTTATGGAAATAAAGTTTGCCAACAGCAATAATATTGAAGCAAGAGACACATTTACCCCTATTGATATGGAGACAGTTGATGCGTCATCCTTATCTTCAGGACCTGTTACCCATAAAACGGTCCCCCTGAAACTGTTGTTTGAGGCTGACCATAGTGAGACCATCAGCTTTCAGCTGATTACATCACCCAAGACCCAGATCGTGACACATGGATGGCATTGTGTGTCAGGGCTCTTTTGATCACTGAAAACAATCTCGGACACCTGTGATAATTAAATGGCAGGTGAGCCCAATTTAAGGAAAAGCTACTAAAGGAGGGTGTTCCACATTATTAAGCAGAGCACCATTTTTAAGCAATATAAGGAAGAAAAAGGATCTCTCTGCTGCCAAAAAGAGTGAAATAGTTCAATGCCTTGGACGAGGTATGGAAACATTAGATATTTCACAAAAACTTAAGCGTGATCATCACACTATTAAGAGATTTGTGGCTGATTCAGAGCACAGACGGGTTCGTGCAGATAAAGGCACATTGAGGAAGATTTCTGCCAGATCCATGCATTGGATCAAGAGAGCAGCTGCTAAAATATCATTACATAGCAGCAAACAGATATTTTGAAGCTGCTAGTGCCTCTGGAGTCCCACGGACATCAAGGTGTAGAGTCCTCCAGAGTCTTGCATTGGGCAGAAAAATGCATGAAGGCTCATTTTCAAACAGTCCTGTTCACTGATGAGTGCCGTGCAACCCAGATGGATGGAGTAGTGGATGGTTGGTGGACGGCCACCCTGTTCCAACAAGGCTGCAACGTCAGCAAGGCGGTGGTGGAGTCATGTTTTGGGCCAGAATCATGGGGACAGAGCTGGTCGGCCCCTTTAGGGTCCCCGAAGGTGTAAAGATGACCTCTGCAAAGTATGTGGAGTTTATGACTGACCACTTTCTTCCCTGGTACAGAAGGAAGAACTATGCTTTCCGTAATAAAATCATCTTCATGCATGACAATGCACCATCTCATGCTGCAAAGAATACCTCTGCATCAATGGCTGCTATGGGGATAAAAGGAGAGCAAGTCATGGTGTGGCCTCCATCCTCCCCTGACCTCAATCCTATTGAGAACCTTTGGAGCATCCTCAAGCAAAAGATCTATGAGGGTGGGAGGCAGTTTACATCCAAACAGCAGCTCCGGGAGGCTAATCTGACATCTTGCAAACAAATTCAAGCAGAAACTGTCCAAAAACTCACAAGTTCAATGGATGCAAGACTTGTGAAGCTGCTATCAAATAAGGGGTCCTATGTTAAAATGTAACATGACCTGCTAAAATGTTTAAAAAGTTAAAATGTTGTTAAAAGTTTGATTGAAAAACTTTTGATTTCAGTAAATATGCTGCAAACACAACAAATGACAATTTTCAGTTCTTTACAACCTATAAAGTGTTTTGAAACTTACTGTGCGTAAAAATTTGGAACAGTGCATTGTAAGTTTATGTTTAAAAAAAAATACTGTTATCATTAGGAGGTTTGTTCAATAAAATTTGAATTGTACTCTTAATAGTTGATAACATGAGAATTATGCTGACTGTTATTTACATCAATTATTTAGGTAAATGAGAAATATCATTTGCATAATAATTTGGAACAGGGTGTATATGGAATAAACGGCATTTCACTATGGAGGCTCTCTTTGTCTACCTCTCTATGGCCTTGTGATTATCCTGGGGGTATTACCATCTGAGGGCATATGTGACCTGGCAGAGGAGATCGAGTGGTACTACAGGAGTATTACAGAGAACTCACCAGGGAGTCCAGGCCACGGCAGACACACTGTCCGCACAGCCCCGACAGGCAGCGCAGGCACAGGAGTTTTTCCTGGGGTTGCACTCCTCAGATGACAAAGGCTGCGCTCCAGAGAGTACGGCCGTGTCAAGGGGGCTGGCCTTGTTGCCGGGCGATGAGGTACGCTGCCCCTGAATGCTAGGGCGACCAGGGATGCTCCATACTGGACTTAAGAAGGTCTGCGGGGAGAGTCTTGTAGTTCTTCACCGCTGTGCAGCTTCCAGGAAGGTCTGCGCTGAGGCGGGACTCCTGTAGCACTCTGCAAAAGACCCCAAAGGGCTATTATTGCTGCCCCTGAGCTGGGGGGAATTATTATTAATACTGTTGCCCTGGGGTGGAGATCGAGGGGATTATTCCCAATACTGACACACTGCAGGAATACCCAACGCTTGGGAGGATTATTACTACTTCTGATGCTAAGATTGGGAGGATTATTCCCCATGGAGTACACTGCTGGTACTCAGGACTGGTACCTGCTGTTAGGACCTTCTGTTGTGTGCTGAGAACGGTCGCCCCCTGGACTGTCACCTGCTGTGAACCCGGGACCATGAGTGTATGCCCCCATTTTATTCCCCCTGGACTGTCCTTGAACTCTGTTCCCCCTCTGCTCCATACTTGGATTACAATTTGCTACAGACTCTAACCTTGCCCCTCCTTGGAGACAGATTACACTTATTTGAGCCCTCTCCTTGCTATTCCCCTAGACTGGGTGCTGCCATGCTATCTGCTGACCCCAATTGAGTGACTGTCAATTTTTTTAATAAAGCTTTGTGTGTTTACCATCTTCTTTGTGTGTTCTGTCCTGCCTACCTCCGTCACAATTATATTATTTTTTATTATATTATAATTTATTATTTAATGTATTGCACCCAGGATGTCTACTAGACTCTTGTTTAAACAGATTTCAGCGAGTTATTCCCAAGAATTACAGATCTACAATAAAAAAATATATATATTTTCATTGAAAACAATGTATGGCTTTGTGCACAGAAATACTGACATAATCATACAGCTAGGGAGGTTAATAGCCATGGTAATCTGGTGTGCTGTCTAAGCCAGATCCCTTTCAAGCAGCTCAGAGAATTTGGCAAAGAGAGTTTAACGGTCAGAATCTCTTAGTGGAAGTGGACTGAGCTCAGATTCTGTCATGGTTGGGCTACCAGGAGATTGTGTTTGTTGCAGCACAAGGAGGTTGCAAAGAGTCTGCTCAATGAGTGATTCAGTAGAAGCAAGAGTATGAACAGGCATCGATTTACTCACAGGAGATGGCTGATCATGTTGCTGGCTGCTAGTCTCAGGTTTTCTTGGGGAGCTGGCACCATGTATTGTAGGAAATGGTTGCCATCTTGCCCAAGACTGCTGAGGAGTGGGTTGCTGGCAGTGGTCGTGAAGTGGGCGTCGATCAGTCCCTCCAGCCATTGGGTGATGCACGGCATTATCCAGAGTCTCATTACCCTGCTGCAGTGAGTGTCAGGTCCGTAGGGTCACGGTGGTGGGCTGAAAACAGCCAGCTAGGTGTACAGCTCAGAGGCTAAGCGACCATCATGAAGAGCTGTTCACATGCACTCTCACTTTCCTTTTTGTTGTTGTATATATGATTTTCAGTAGGTGGTCTCTGGCTATGATGCACTGTTCTTGCGTTTTCTGTCCACCTGCAAGGTGGCTGATGTGGCCAGTCTCTGAGTGGGGACCAAACCTGATTTAAGCCAGCCAAGCCTGCAGTCTCATACTAGTGATAGCGTTTGTAACACATGCTCAAGCTCTTTCTTTGCCCTGCTGCTTGGATTTTGGTGTGTATGACCTTTGATCAGAGACTGACTGTTCTCTGAACTCTGCCTGCCTTTTGACTACAGATATGACTGACTATTCTGAACCTTGCCTCCCATGGACCTGGACTGTCATTGAAGTCCTCTGCCTGTCTGACCTCAAGTACCTGTTTGCTCTGCTTAGTTTTCACCTATGCCAGCATGGTAGACAGGCACTATAGCATTGTGTATAAGTCCTGGGGGCAACCGAGTACTGATAGCCAGCTTGCCTTATGGGAAAGGGGGCTGCTATAGGTGAAGAACACAAACTAGCTATAGTGCTTGACCACCTGTGTTAGGGGTAAGCGTGACAGTTACTATACAAGGGAATGCCCATATGTGTATATGAGATTGTAATATATCTCCTGTGTTAAGAATAATAATTACAAGTTTTAGATCTATACCTACCACATCACATCTTCCTGAAGAAGTGGGCTGGTGGTTCCTGAAACTTGTTAAACATTGCTGTAGTCCAACTTTAGAGTATATAAAAATGAATGGTTGTGTATTGAAAATCACACTGTATAGAGGGTTGGGTTTATGGGGAGGTATTTGGGGAAACAATGTAAACTATCTAGTTCCAGCTCTTCTTTAATGCTGAATTATATAAAATGATTTGTTGGTTAAATATTTTTCACCTTTTGAAGAGGTGACGTGAGACTCTGTATTCTATATTTTTATTTTTTATTAGCACTAAAAAATCTACGCAGCACTTTTACATATATACATTGCACATTCACATACGTTTCTACCCTCCAGGTGTTTATGATCTAAGGTACCCAAAAAGTCCCAATAGTTCTCCTTTTGCACAGTTCAACATCTGCCTTACCATATTTTATTGGATTAAGGTGACTGATATACTCTTGTGGCTATAACCGCTCAGATGCAGCTATTTACACACATCTGTCGATTCCAGCCTCAGAAATCTGCAGATTCCTGCAGCTGGAAAGCACAGTGAGGTAAACTTACTAAACCTGGAGCACTCAGAATCCGGTGCACCTTGCATGGTAGCTATTCATCTTCTTCAGCTTATTTAATTAAGCTTTGACAATAAAATCTGAAAATTGATTGATTTCTATGCAGAATTGCTCCAGATTTTGCACTCTCCAGCTTTCGTAAATAACCTTCAGTGTGTGTAACCTCTGTGAATGGAGCCTTACAGGAACTCAATGTAGCTCCTATCTTCTGCCGTATCTGGAAGCTTCTGGTCAAAGTACCATCCTAGCACTGTGAAAGAATAATTTTTTTATTTTTCTCACACTCACATACACATTTCACATGACAGTGTATAAAATCAAAGGAATACTGATGTTAACTATTTCTGACGTGATAACAATATTCAGCGATTTTGGGTTATTTTAGCCATTTGTATTCTATCTCTTCCTTTGACACACCAATTTATTTAATGTCCACTATACAAGTAGCATTGTAACAATAACAAGACATTATGCCTGATACTTACCAAGCAGAAATAATGGAACCCTTCCAGTATATTGAGTGACTTTTCCAAAGATGGCTGCACAAATTGAGTTGGTAACACCAAAACAGATAATGACAAAGCCCACATATTTTAGTCCCAATATACAGGTCACATATGACTGAAAAAAAAAAGTGCTCATTAGTATGTTATATTTGAACCATTGACTAAAATACTTTAGGGGTCTAGTATGTTTCTTTCACAAAACGTTCACCCAGGATCTTAATTGTGATTATCGGATTAATTTGGAAAATGTGTAAATCCTGGGTGATAGTGATTTTTAAACTTTGGTAGATTTCTTTGTCTTCACATAACACAACAAAATTCAGATTCATAGCCAGAGCGGTTTTTGGAATCCACGGGGCCCCATACAGCCAGCCTGACACGGGGCCCCCAGTGATTGGTACCAATCAGTCATTGTGTTCATTTAGGAAAAGAAGGGGCTGGTAAATGTGACATATTTACTAGACCCGTGCCCCACTCTTCATCCTGATGGCTCCTTTTTGTGTGCTTGCAGCTGCCAGAGGAGAGGAGGGAAATCGGCAGTACTGTGGGGGTGGGTGCACGCAGAAGGCCTGGGCAACACAGAGAAACGTATAGTTCACAGTGAGGGTGATGGTTGCTGCAGGGGACAAATACTGGAACCGATCTCCTATATGGCTCTCTGCAGCAGCTGAAAGCCAGACGCAGAGGAGAAGAAGCCAGCTTTCAGCTGCTGCAGTGAGA